CTCGGTTTCTTAACTCTCTGAGTCCCAAGTAACGCATCATACGTTCATAGGTTCCTACCTAGAAGCCCAATGTAAGCATTATGCGCCCATTTTATGACTCTCTTTACTACCCCCTGGGTCTGTGATGCTAAACCCCCTGGGACTCAAAGAGTTTACTCTAAGAAAATCCCTGAGAGTGCTAAACCTGAAGCTCCGGCAATGATCCACACATGATTACAAAAAGCTTTCGTTGACAAACTGAATGTCACAGTCACAACTAGGAATTCATGACCTCCAGTTTGTGAAATATCGGCTTAACCACTTTGCAGCATGGGGTGCCATATTCTAAGAGTGGACCAGACAGCACACATACTCCATACCCTGCCCTCGTGAGCATTCTCTTTAGACTTGTATATAAACTCCAGCATGGCAACGACCACAGCCAGGGCAAGCCCAACCAAAAGCACCACAAAGATCCCACCCACATTCTCAACACCAAGGGCATTAGCTTTAGACTCCTTCGTATCATCTCTGTGAAAAAGAAAAGTTGAAATAGGTTAGAATGTAAAATATTTCTTTTCATGCTTGTTCTTCTGTGATCAACTCAACAAAACACAAGTGATGGGGATGAATGTGGTAAACTCACCAAACATTAGCGTTTATGACAATGAGCTGTTTGTTGTACATGTGTTTTAATACGTAGGTTTTCGAATCGCAGACAGTCTTTCCCTAGATGCAGAACTAAACAGACGAACAGGGGAGTTTTATGCAAAGCTTGCCAAACGCATCGGTGTGCGGTCAAACAAAAAGCTTGCGGATAAGACCACAATTAAAGTTAATGAAGATTGACCAAGCTCCTTTATGGTAGTGAAACATGGACGCTGTATGCTCCTCAATAAAAAGAAAAGACTGAATGCCATCTAAATGCGCTGTATGAGACGCATTCTTAGTAAATCATGGAGAGACTTCGTCCCCAAATAAATTTATACTCAGAAGAACAGAAATGCCAGTAATACACTTTGTAGTGAAACAAATACGCCTGCGTTGGTTGGGACATGTATCTCGCATAGAAGAAGGTCGCACCCCAAACGATCTCCTGAATGGTGAACTGGTAACATGAGTAAGACCTGCAAAAAGGCCAAAGCTACCCTATAAGGACATACACAAACGTGACCTAAAATATATCCACACTGGCACAGAAAATTGGGAGAGATCACCTGCAGATCGACTCCTTGGGAGGCAGACAGTGAAAGACAGACTGTTGCAGTTTGAACGTAGAGAAACGCAGCAAGCTGTAGAGAGTAGATATCTGAGAGAAAAACCGACCGCAGAGCGATATTATTTTTATGTAGACTATGTGACAGATAATCCCACTCCTGCATTGGTCTTTACTGTCGCAGTAGACGCTGCTCCCAAAACTAGCTGCACAACTCTATGTTCCCCAGGGACTGATGGTTGCCTACCTCGTGATCGGAATTAGAAAGGCGGTCGGCATGTCTCTTGTGGTTTACTATTAATAATATCTGTGCCTTTAGGTCCAACGCATCTGATTTGACCAGAACACTAATTAGTCGTCATTTAGACATATTTGTTAGGGGTTTACGGGTCTACTCGCTTACCCCCCCCCCCCCCCACCACCCCCTTTCCCCCCAATCACCACCCCCTGCCCATTTTTTTTTCAAATGATGCCTTGAAAACAGCACCGACAGAAATCAATTTACCTATTCCGTGTGAGCCCGCAAAAGGGTAGCTGGCCTGGTGTGTTGTGGTTACATCTAGGCTGTATATCTATGCCTTTAGGACAACAAGTAACACTATAGTATGCAAAGACGCAAAGGCCAACACACCAAATTTCGTCTAACCCCTAATTATTTGACTTGCACATCATACTTATTGAGAATCGGCGAGCCTATCCCCCATCTCAAAGTGGGCCCTGTAACCCTTGATGTTGCTGGCACCTTTTGCGTCTTTTCAGACGATAGTTTAATTCACTGCTATAAGGAGACATGGGACTCAACAGTACATGGTGATGGCGAGTGTGACTAGCAAGACCCGTCCGCGTTTAGAAAGCTTTTCCACCATTAGAGCATGGGATTCCAGGACCGTTGTAAATATGAAATGTATTTAGTGTTTCTACTCACACGCTAGCTTTCACCCTTTCTGCTCTCATTTCTTCCTTTTTGCTAATTCCTTTCTTGATATGCCCCATTCACGCAACACTGTCCATATTATTTTTTTTCCCAGGAATCTGCCTTAGTACCAGTATTTCATATGATAGCAGAATATGGCCTTCACATTTTCTACCTATCTGTAGTTCATCATAGATGTTGTCCTTAGGGACTCCAGCTGTGACCAAAGCACCTGAGCATTGAGAAAACTGTTTAATACCTGCTCTTTCCAAAACCTAAGTTTTTGTGATCCTGTGACTAATTTAGCTAGTTGGTTGTGTATCCTTTACAGGACGTTGCAGAACCAACCCCAACAGCCCCTGGCTGTTGTGTGGTTTTTCTACGCAAATATACGCCCAGTAGTTTGCCATTGCCCACTGGATGGTCGGCTCTCTTGATACCACTGTCAAAACCAACGCAATGCGCATGGCCCGCAGCTGGGATCGAAACCGGCATCTCGACATTACGAAGCGTTCGCGTCGACTTAGCCACAGAGCCGACGTAACTAATATAAGGAATATAAAATAACACTCATCATTTATCCACGGACGAAGCAGATTACACGCGGTAACAAGAGGCAATGCAAAACAGACAGTGTGTGAACACATCACATTCAACAAGACTGAGTATGTCAGTGATGTTAACGTTACCTAATGCATGTGCTTGTATCCTTCCACCATTTATTGTATAACATCTGTATTACTCCACCCTCTTGCAGTTCCAGAATGGCCATAGATAGCTTATCCCGATACGGAGAATCTGCAGTGGTTGAATCAAATACAGTCAAACAAATCATAACAAATTTGTTTATAAATAGATAGCTTATACATAAATATTATTATGTGTGTATATATATATAATATATATATATATATATATATATATATATATATATATATATATATATATATATATATGTATACAGTAATCTGGTAGGATAACCAGATTACCAGATTACTTTATACGCAAAATACACCGTATATATAGCCAATGTATATATATATATATATATATATATATATATATATATATATATATATATATATATATATATATATAAATATATATATATAAATATATATACACTCGGCTGTATATACAGTATATATACTATATAAAGTGTCTATATACATACTATAAAACATTGAATATATATATATAGGCTAAGTATGCAGTGTATAAAAAGTAAAAAAAAAAAAAAAAACTTCACACGGGAGCATGCACAGCAGAGGTCCGCCGATCATCAGCAGAAAAACCCCTCGTCGACGATTGTTTCGGACCATTACTTTCTAGACAATCTCGGAAGGTGGGCCGACCTGGTTTATGATGTCAGGCTTTGATCTTCCCCTACTGAACTTAATCGGACTTTCATACAGGAAAAGGACTAAATGGTGACTTTGCAACAGGTATCGTGAGATTTGGTAATGTATATATTGTCACTGCGGTAGCAAATTGAGCCAACTACCTTCACGACCAGAGTGACAAGCTTACGGGTGGTTCAACGGACAGGTGTTCATAGATAGCCCCACCCACATACCCCACAGAGAAATCTGAAACACCAGCATTAGATAATCCATGGAGTCTAAAGCCAAGTACGCAACCTTCCAATCGCAAGGTAAATTGGCTTTACCTCTGTGCCAGGTTAACACCCAGTTGGTATGGTACCCCTACAAAATAGAGCGCTTCCCTAAATCAGGAAATGAAAAAGCGTACTACTTATATAACAAATAGGAGCATTACAGAACAGCTTTATTATGCAGAGTGAACTTGTAGAAAATAATCAAGACAAAAACAGCCATTGCCACCCAGTAGAAAGAAACCTTTCTATCCAGAACACAAACTCCAAGGCTCAATCAACTCCCACACCTTAAAGAGAAAGACCATTATATTCTGATTTCAAACTGATACAACAGATGCTGCAGCCATATTTTCAAGAAATTCAAGACTGGGGACTTTGCCCATGTGGATAGGCAGATAGGCACCACCAACAAATACTGAACAAGGGCTGCAGACATGTACTCTACATCAATGCTGTCATGCGGTTAGAATGGACCCGCTGGGCACTTCCAGGGGGGGCCAAACGAGTATAGAGGTCCCATGTGAATCTGTGAATGTCAAGTGACTTGTCATTAAAAGATGTCATTCCTATTAGTGGTGTCAAGAGGATTTCATCACAATGATTTGCCCAAGGGCCCATAATGCTGTTAAGACGGCTCTGCTCTTCACGCAGTAAAACAAATTGCAGGTGTGACCAGTCAGGATAGTATCCTCCCCACCGTGCTCCTCTTCCTCCTTCCTCCTCCCTTCCACTAAGCTGTTGACACAATGTGGAATGAAGATGTGGAATACAAACTCCAACAATCAGCGCTAACAGAGAACAGGTACTACCCACTTAATGGTAGCCAAGTCATTTCGTCTTTTATGACCAAGACCTGACCTGCTTCAGTACCACTATTCCTAATGCACTACCTATCTTCTTCTTTGTCGTTTCACTGACAGCATGTTGCAGCCCAGTGTTGAAGTTTTCTGTATTTGTCTTGCTCTTCTCCGGTGGCTTGGGCAATGCATTAGTCTATCTTTTGGCAGGTTTCAGCTAAACATTTTCTCCATCTCTTTATTGGTCTTCCTTTTTCCTTCCTCCCAGATGGTTTTTTTTTTTTTTTTGGGGGGGGGGGGGGGGGGGGGGGGGGGGGGGGGGGGGTTTAAAAAGTCTCAATTGCAGTTTGATCTAGCTGCATCCTTACTAAATAGCCGAACCATTTCATTCTTTGTCCGTCAATATAATCCAGACAACTTTCTCTCTAATGCTGATATTCGTAAGCTTGTCTCCTCTTGTGTTGTTAGTGACTACTTATATTATGGTAAATACAGACAATACATGCAGTTAGACATTATCTTTAACGAAATCATTCAGAAACGTCCTTACTCATTGGCAAACCAACTCCATATCCTTTTGAATCTAGCTGCCCTCCGACCTGCATCAACTCACAATCTCTCTGAACCTGGTAATCAATCATCAGGTTCTCCATGAAGAAAGCATAGTTTCCTTTTCTGACCCTCTCTATTCCCTGCTGGTAGGTCTCAGCCATAACGTGGGGCCGATCTTTCATGTATGCATACATACGCTTGTATGTGTCGATATTGGATTCCTGCACAGAAAGAGCAAGATTTTAGCTATATTTTTTACATACAAGCATATCATATTATTTACATAACAATAACTGTGGTTTGGACGTTAGTGATTATGGTTAACAATTCAGTACTAGCTTTCGTTCCCAAAGGTGGACGTTTAAAACACACACACACACACACACACACACACACACATACACACAATCCACCTTTTTGTGGTTTTCTGATTGAGGCCTCGCCAAATAATATTCCCAAAGAGAACAATGCAACCTTCACTGTCAAGGTGGCACATCATTTTTGATTATTGTGAGGACCTAAAGTTAAGGTGGGTACTCACGAAAATGTCTGTGACAGCAGCTTTGAAAACAGTGATACCTCAAAAAGGTGCCAATACTGTGGTACCGCCAGAAACAAAAAGCCCCCAGAACAAGTAAATGACATAAGTATTTAGTCATTACAATCCGCCGCCCCCTTTCCCATCTCTCTCTCCACCTGTCTCTTTATCACTGAATATATGAGTGAATCAAGACTTGACGCCACTGCACTCGAGACATTCACAATCGTAGACAATGAAAAGTCGACATGCTAATATTACTAGTTTTTTAATATCCTAAAAAGCCTCCACCCCCGCCCCTCCCCCACCGTTGAAAGAGTCTATTAGTGTAAGGATTATCTGTATGTTCCATTGCACTGCTCGTTTGATCCCAAAGAACCATATCCACTTTTTCATAACGTAGCTCACCACCTAAAGTGCAGCGATATCCTGGACAGAAAGTCCGTAATATGTTTGTGATCTAAGTTGTTCCAGCGACGCAAGCCTCTCCGCGTAGAAAGTAGGAAGCATGCTCTCTCTATTAATCATCGAAATCGTTGTTACACAAAAGTATATTTCTAAATACTTTACAACTGTGATCATGTCTGCACTATAACCTTCTGAGTCACCGTGTGCCACTAGTCACGTATGGACTGTGTAACGAAAGGAAGAAAGAAAGGGGGCGTACCTCACTCATATTAGATAAAACTATGTTGGATGTTAATGCCCATTAGATAGACAAGGCAGCTCTCGGGAGATTTACGGATTCGATAGATCTTGGGTCATTATCAGTCTTGAGTTCGAAACCACGTCTAATGGATTTTGAAAGCAAATTATCTTTACGCCAAGATCGACCTACCCTAAAACTGGTACCAGGTAAATGTTTTGGCAAGTAAAGGCGGTCTACGTGATTTTGAACACATCACCTGTCGTGTGCAGAATTGTTATTAAAAATATAAATCTAGCATTGTATGTCCAATACACCAATGGACTGAAAAGGATCATTTATTACTATTTGCGTGAAGGCTGGTCAGTTAACCCGGGCATCCGATACCTGCAGAATCAAATGTATAGACTGAAAGGCGCATGTCGCAACCAGGCTGTAAACAGGTACAACGCATTTACATCTTCGGATAAACGCACAAAAAGAAGACAAAAGGTTTTCTAATTGTTACTTAGACATTTAGAGCTCCAGGAAAAACAAAAACAAATATATGGCAATTTCCATTAAATCAATGCAGATACGGCAACAAAAAGTAAACTCATTCACCAGCCATAACGTTTACAACAAAAAATTGAAAAAGATAACGTATTTGTCAGCCTTACGGGATCAGGTACAAAAGACATGGGTCGCTGAGGCGTTTAACCTTCACCAGCAGAACACTAACCATAAAGAAAGACAAAGTAGCAGAGCTGAGTCTGGTCCCGTACTCAAATCTCCGTTGTCTGGAAAGATCCTCGGCGCTCTCAATGGGGAAAACATGCGCTCAACGGTCAGAAACGCTGCCAGGTTTGCCGTGTACGAGGAGATGATGATTAGCGTGAAGAACCACCAGATCCCACCCACAATACGGGGTGCTTATAGCACGAGGGTTGATATCTGAAAAGAAAGAGGTGTGTTTTATTGGTATGGCCATAATATAAAGGATGTAGGGATAACAATATTTCAAGTATTCGTCATATATGTCGTAGTCATCATCACTCTCCTCCTCCTCTTCTTCTTAATATTTTTTCTTTTTCTTCATCTTTTTCTTCTTCTTCTTCTTCTTTACCCCCATCCATCCCAGTGCATACCATGCAGGCTGATAATATGTTGTCCAACATCTTCTGTTTCATCTACTAATTATACTAAAAATACTTTTTACAGGCAGCTATCAAGATGTCATCAAGAGAGCTGTTCCAGGCAACCAGGAATCGTGATCTGTGGAGACGCATGCGCACCTACGCCGGTTGGCAGGGCTCATGATGATGATGAGGCAGCTAAATGACTAGAAAATCTTTATTATTCTTCTTCGTCTTTCTTCGTGATACTTTAAGAGAAGAGAGACGTGTGTGTGAATCAAGTGAGGACTGTGAATTTGCAACAATGAGCTGACTGCATGAACAGCAGTTGATAAAAGGGGTGAAACCAGTCAAGACGTCATTGTGATCATCTTCTTCATCATTATTACCATCAACATCACACTCATTTTGCCAGAGCTCGAACTCTACATTTTATTCTGTTCTATACCATACAATTCTGCCTATATCATGGATGGAAACTAGCCCCAACACCTTTGCTTTCTCTCCACAAAGATCCTCTCAAGGATTTTCTTGTACGTCCTAGTATCCTTAATTCATATGTTTTCCCCTCGTAATGCCTGTTTGCTAATTTAATGGGGGTTAAGTACAGAAGGAGATTAATCACGCAAGAAACATAAGAAAAAATAGTGAACAAACAATTCGTTTTGGCACAATCTAGAAATATGCTAATGCAGTAAATGCATAAAGCATTTGGTAGAGTGGCTGACGGAAGTAGTCAGTCACGATAAGTTGGCCATACATACGTAAAACTATTTCATAAGGTTTTTCGACTGCCCTCACTGTCACGAAACGATCTCAGTGATTCCAGAAGTTAGTACTTGTAATAAGTTCTTCTGGTTCCAAAGAGAGAGGATTATATTTACTCTGCCCTTTACCCTAATATTACTTTAAACCAAATTGATTAAAATGTTACCAGTCCTTCTTCCCAGACAAAGCCACTGCGCTTTGTTTAAAAATTACCTAACACTACGTAATACCGCAGCGCTGCGTTCAGGACTAGGGATGTGAGGTTTTGATTCTCACGCCAGTGGTCATAAATGTTATCTCCTAACACAGCCTGAGTGGGGCCCTTTTTGAACATGAATTTGGGGGACTGTAACATTTAGGGGAGGAGAAGTTTAAAAATTTTTCATAGGTAATTGGGGGGTAAACTAATTGGGGCACTTAAAAAAGTTTCTCTGGGGGTCTCCATAATTGACTGACGGCACTTGTTAGCTAAATTTATTTGAAGGTACTTTTGGGGAGGAGCTTAAACCATCATCTTGAGGGTTG